CTCTGAGTTACTTCCAATGCACTTATGTCCTTACTTAAATAAGACCAATGTAAACAGCACTCCAGATATGGTTTCAATGTCCTGTATACGTGAAGCATATCTCTCTAATTTTATAATCAAACTTGCATTAAATGTTAATATTCTATTAACTTTCCAAATTACTTGCTATACACATACTAAAAACTTTTATAATTCATTAACCAGGGCATCCAGCATCTCAGAGCTCTACAATCACTTAACATTTACATAATTTTTTTTATTCTTGCTGCCAAAACAGGAAATTTCACATATCCCACATTATACTTAAGATCTTTGCCCATTCACTTAACCTATTTCCCTCCCTTTGTGGTCTCTTTGTTCCCTCTTCACAATATATTTACCCATTTATGTTCATCATCAGCAAATTCAGCAACCCTTACCTCAATCCCTTAATGTATTTACATAAGATGTAACAGAAATTGAGGCTCCAGCACTGATCCTTGTAGTATACAAATTACATCTTGCCAACCAGGAAATAACCCATTCATGCCTACCATTTCCTGTTAGCTAGTCAGTCAATCTTCACACCACGTGCTTTTATTTTCCACAACAACCTTTGATATGACATCAAGTAGCCTTTTTAAATGTTTTCTGGAAATCAAAGTATAGTACATCCACTGACCTGCTTATATATACAGCATATACTTCCTCAAAGAACTCCAAAAAGTTAAATGCAATTTCCCTTTCAAGAAACAGTGTTTACTTTGCCTGATCACCATGGGTTTTTCAAAGTGTCCTGCTACAAGATCTTTTAACATCTTCCCTATGACAGCTAGCTGGCTGTGCAGTTCCCCTTCCTTTATTCCTCCCTCTTTGAAATAGAGGAGTCAAACTCACTAGTTCCAACTTAGCAGAAGCTGGCCTAACTTTAGGGAACTTTGGAAAATTAAAACAATGCATTAACTCTCTATCAAGCCATTTTTTAAAAAAATGATCCTAGGATGAAGTCTACCAAGCATCCAGGAGTTTTTCAGCTCGCACCTCCAATAGCTTGCTCAATGTCACATACCTGGTAGTTGTAATTTTCTTGAGATCCTCCTCCCTTCCATTTTCTGATTTATAGCTATGTCTGGAATGTTGCTTTTATCTTCTATGGTGAAGACTGGAAAATACCTATTCAATTCATCTGTCATCTGTTTACCTTTCATTATTAATTCCCGAGAATTGTTTTTATGGGACCAGTGCTCATTGTTAACTCATTTTTCAAACGCATGGATGATTTAAGTGCGTATCGTTTCTTAAAATTTTCTGACACGGCCACACCTGTACAACAATATAAAATAACCAATTTATGTGTGGTATGAGAGTAGACTCCTTTAGGAAATCCTCTCAAAATAAAAACAGTAGTGACTCAAATAAATCATAAGCTTTAAAAGCACCTAACAAAAGTACAGAATTTGATAGACAGTAGGATCAAGGGAACGTTGCTGTATCTGAACTGAAAACAATAAATGCTAGAGATCACAGTGGATCAGACAGCTATGGAGAAAGAGCAAGCTAGTGTTTGGAGTCTAGATGACTCATCAGAGCATGAATTCAGATGTGGGTTCTTCAGAGTGGACATGTTAAAGTGAATCCACTGCAAATACCTGACCTTCCAAATCAAACTCAATTCAAGAACTAAGAACTTTAATAGGGAGAAGCTAGGGCGAAGCCAGCAACATTTTACAAGTCTTGTTTCCTATTCATTTAAGTATACAATGAAAACACTTAATGAAAGGTTCAGCAGCACGAGGACCTCTCTACAACCTCTGTTTGATCTCACCATTAGTGGCAGTGGTAGTGGACCCGCTTGTTTGTTAAAATTTCTCATTTATCCTGATTAATGGCATTCGAAGTAGTCAGCAGTACATGACAAATCCTTGAGGAACCCTAATGCAAAGGTAGGGTGACACTTGGGCATTGTCAATGCCGTAGACAGAGATGAGCTCTAGGCTCGATCAGCCAGATGATCATTGCACGGCAGAAAGTCTGCCCTGGGAGAAAACCTAGAAGCTTTCCAGTCCAACTTGCAGAAGGCCGCAAACAAAAGGTCAGTTTAAAAACCCAAAAGAACTGCAGATGCAGTAAATCAGAAACAAAAACAGAAATTGCTTGTCTGTTGACATTTGTGGACAGAAACCAAAGTTAACGTTTTGGGTCGAGTATTCTGAGGAAGGGTCATTTGACCTGAAATGTTAACTCTGATTTCTCAGGTCTGTTAAAAAGATATCCAGTGATCTAATGCAAATGAACTGGCACTCTCACTCACTTGACTGCATTGCATAGATGTGTTTTTTTAAAGCAATGAGTAAGTCCCTAGCTTTACCCGAGCTTCTGGACCACCAGGGCAACCTTTAGTGGATAAGTTGGCTCTGATGGTTTACCCAATATCATACCATACAACCCTCACTTCCTGATATATAATTTCAAACTAATCTACCTGGGCTGATGTGCCATTCTTCCCAATACTGGCAGGCTTTATAGGCCATTGGTAACATTGGTCATGTTGCCTGAATGGAGATAGAGGAGGAAACATGAGGATCTCATTCATGGTCTCCACATCCATTTCAATCTCTCACACTCAATCAGGAACTATGATAGAGTATGGATTAATTCCTAAATTACTTTGATCAATTAGCAGTCACAGAGAACAAGACCTTATGACATGTGTTTATCCGAACCCACATTGTATTTCGCATCTGGGATGAGACTATCTGATCTCTTACAGCTCAAATAAAGACCTCAAGTTGTCAAAGGCTGTTGAAGTAGCTTGACATGCTGAAATCCATAAACAGAACAAGTCCTTTCTTTGGGGAGACTGAGATTCTTCCTGGGACCCCACCAACAACTTTGTCCAATTCTACAGCAAGCTAGCCAGGTCACTTAGAAATAAAAAGAAGTCAGATGAGGGTATTGCCATTTCTCTTCATTCAGTCTGACAGGCAACGTCCCTATTGGAGAGATAATTGCAGAATATAGCAACAAGAGGCCATGTCAGAACCACCTGCAAATGCAGGACAGCCACAGTAGTAGGTCAAAATAGCAAAAATAAATTGCAACCACCTATTTCTGTCCAAGAAACAGATACTAATTCTCAGGAAAGTTATAGATTATCAAATGACTTCTGCTACTTAATAGGTTTGTTAACAGCAAGAAGACTGGTTTTAAATTAGATATAAGGGTCTGTATCACAAACAAAAACAGAAATTGCTGGAAAAGCTCAGCAGGTCTGGCAGTGTCTGTGGAGATGAATTAAAGTTAATGTTTCAGGTCAAGTGACTCTTCCTCAGAACTGTTCATAATCAACATCTTGTTCCTTTTGTGTCAATAGACATTCTGTTTTAATATCTTTCCTACCGGTTATGGGATAAAATCCTTCCTGACAATGTAGAAGTACTCACAAATGATGTCCTTTCCACCACTTTTGCCTTCCTGGTCTGAGCACTTAACAGAGTCTACCAAGTCTCCCACTAAACGTACACCACAGTATATCAAACAACTTTCGAGGACATAGCACAAAAGTCATTAATCCTACACATCAGCCAGGGAACAGAGTACTTAAGTAACAGTTCTTTGGCAAGCAAGTCCTCCTTTTAGCTTGAAACTTTCTTCTAGTTCAAGAATGTCAGCAGATCAGTCTTAGTGCTGAGCAGATGCTGCTTTGTTTGGTTAAGACTTTGGAATTCTTTGCTCAGTTGCCTAAGGTTCTCCATTCTAAATTTTCTGGGTCTGCTTTGACTGCAAGCAAGCCCGCACTTTCAAACATGAAAGAGCTGCTTCATGTTGATGCCCCTATCCTCAGTACTTTTATCTTAATCCACAACTTCAGCTACTGTAGAAATGTCCTTCTCCAATCATATTCCTGCTGAATAGTTCACTTAAGGTCCACCTCCTTCAGATTCGTATGACTGTCTCTTTGAAGGAATTAATGGAATCCATTGATGAGAAACTTCAGAGGAGGATAGATAGGAGAGGCTCAGACCTTTCTTTGGGGAGAAAGTCGAGAGATTTGATCACTTTCAAAATCATGAGAGGCCTTCAGAGTAAATAAGATGAAATAGTTCACCCCTGTAAAAGGATAAAAAATCAGAAGACAAGGTTTTAAAGCGTTTGAAAAAAGAAGCAAATGCATGGTGAGAAAAATCTTAGGTTAGAATGCACTGCCTGATCGTGTGATTGAAGCAAGTTCAGTTGGGGCATTTGAGCAGGCATTAGATGATTATTTAAGCAGCAACCCTAGTTCTGGCGAATAGGAAGGAGTTTGGCACAAAGTTAAAATACTCAGTCATTGCAGCAACAATGGGCTGAATGGCGTCTTTCTGCACCATAATTTTGTGATCTCCCATGGTCCAGAAGGTTGCCTTCTTCGAGTGTTTTCCAAGTTGATCCCTCTCGAGAGCCCTGACCTTCAGATTAGCAAAGATATACCTCAGGTGCCAGCTGAAGTGCCAGATTATGTGCTTTGCCAGCTAAGATTCTGCTTGTCTACCAAAGAACCACTGAAATCCCAACACTCTCCAAGATGGTCCACGAACAGTTAAAAAAAGTCTTTTCGTTAGAGTGAAAATGAGAAAAATGTTGCCAGTTAAGTGTTAACAGGAATGCTGATAGGTAAAGCAATGATTTAAAGAGATGGAAAGACGACTCGAGGGGAGGTGTAGGGCAAGTTCTATTCTGCTACCGAATTCTACACATTATCCTTGAGGCCTGCTAGCATGGGGACATATTTGGATTTAGGAATGCTTTCTCCTACCAACTTGGGTAGTTAGTATAGTTAACAAGGTTTGGGTAGCTGGTTGGTGCCCAGATTTAGCTCACTCTACAACCGGAGTTTCATCTCACTACATACTTGTTGAATTGCACTGACATTCAAAAGGGTAATATTAGAAATGGAATATAGCTATATTTATGTCTTTGTCAGTTATGATAATTGCAAGACCAGTGAAAGTTTAATAAGGAAATGACAACCACGTTTCATCTTGGTCACTAATAAACATATTTATTAGAATAAATAATAGTTAATGTTTCTCAAACCATGCATACAGAAGACACTTGCATTCTTTGACAGGACAATAGTTTCTGATACTTCCAGTAGTTTTTCAACACTGATCCGACACAGTATGCATTTTTAGATGGCTGTATCACCTCAGAGATCAAATAAAGAAATAATTTTTAACAGTATGACAATTCATTAACAGTGCATGAAGTCAAGATAATTTCTCAAGTTATTAAAATCTTGTGATTGTAGCAACACTTATTTTTCTAATAATAAATGAACACTTCTGTAGGATGCTTCACTATAAACAAGTAATTCTTTTCTTCTCAAATACATCAGGTACAATACAAGTTGAAACATGTCAATACGGAAGTAAGAAACTCCAGCATTATAATTATGCTCAATAAAAGGCAACTAACTGGTTAATTGCAGAATCTATTCCCAGTATGCTTTTGCAGAAATCTGTATTTAATCCCAACAGGAAAATGATGTTTTCCACAATGCATGTCCACAGCAAGACTGACTATTTAGTACCAAATTACATTCCACAAATTGACATCGAATACATGATGAAATTGTCTAAACTCACTTGCGGTTAGATTCACACCTAGTTGCTAGGGCTGAAAGGACAGTTTCCTGACCAATCACCACACTATTCTGCCTCCCCCGTGTAAGCATGATAAAATTTAACATCTTCCACCAACATATGTTACAGCTAACAATTCCTCATACCTTAAACCAGTTTGAGGTTTTACGGAATACTTCGCCGGTTATATCGTTAAGATTCTGTTAGTATCTCAGGCTATTTTCTGAGATTTGCTTTCAACTTAAAACAGCTGGACATGTGCCTGTATTGCTTAAGGGTAGTACTTAGATATCAAAGTTGAAAATCCATATGACTGTAATTTACATTGTAATGGCATCAAAACAACTCTTAAAATAAACAACCAAATCCTGAGGGAATAATCTTGACAATCCCATTCCTTCACCAAGGAGTAACCCTGGTATACCACTGAGTAAGTTCTGTTCAAGTAGTCAATCATGGACTCCCAATGAGAGCACAAGAAGGAGGGAATGGGAAATTGAGATGATTGTTGCAATACACTGCTTCACTGGATATTCATTACACAGGCGCTCTCCAAGCATGATGAAAGCAGTGATCAAACATCAATCCTTCTGTGATATCTGATTTTGAACTGCTGTAAACTCAAATTATAGTTGAGGTTACTGTTGTGCATTAAATGTTCATTTATAACAGTACAGCTGAAGTTAGTGCTGCATTGTGTTATCAGTGATAAAATATTTTAAAATGTATTGCAATACTATACAACTTTCTGTTCTACCTATAAAATATTCCAGTTGGACTGCTAATGATAGTGGTTCTTATGTTTATTACACTGAGGATTCATCCAAAGTCAAAGTCAATTAAAATAAATTATATTTACTATATAATTAAAACTGAACTTTCTAAATAGCAGACTAACTTCTTGCCCCATACAGCCTCACCTCACCCCTAATGAGGTGAGCTACATATTCCAATTCCTTCACACACAAGTCAAAACTTCCATAAGAAATGATCGCACAGGCCAGGATACAGCAGCTCAACTTTCAGAACACTGTTTACATGAAAACTACTTCTGCAAAAATTGTAAAGGGAGCTGTAAAATGCACCTTTGTAATCTGATAGGTGCTCCAAAGTACATCATCTTTACAAGAAACAGATGTAAATATGCTGTTAGGAATAAGAGTCCAAGCTGCAGTCAAGATTAGTGTTCACATTGTCTGTTTAGAAAGGAGGATTTAATTTGAGTTTCACACATCTAAAATTCTACTAACCTTAAATACAATGCAATTAATCTTAAAATATTTTTAAAAATCTAACCTGTGTTTTTTGAGGGGGGGAGGTTAGTTTAATTAGAGCTGACACTGCCCAATGGAGTACAAAGAAAATCCAAATAATCAAAATGTTTCCCCACATTGTAAAGTCAAGTCAAAACTTCATTTGAACTCAAGATCAGATTCTTGGGTCTCATTTTGCTGCAATTTTCAATATCATCCAGTTAAGTGACAAAAAAGAAACTGCAGCATACAATTGTAACTTTTAAGTTTTATGCACTACAAAGTCAGTGATTTGATGGCAAGGATTTATCTGATCATTTCAAGCTTAAATATTGGTGAGATTTATAACATTCTCCATATTCCTAAAGAACACATTGTACATCAGTAAACATTTAACTAACTTTATTGCAGAGGATGTTCTGAAGAAATTCAGTCATGTTACAACTAAAGCAACATGACTCAGATTAATTCAGGTAACAGTGATCTTGTTCTTACATGTTAGGAGTAGGGAAGCAACACGGTAGCTTGATCCATTCTGATGTCTGTCAATCAAGCCAGAGGCATAATCTGGACGACTGTCCTAATATTACACATCACCCCAGAGAAAAGGCAACCTAGAGGGCAGGCAAAAGTAGGTGTACAGGCAGTAATCAACCAAGCACAGCACAAAGAAGCCTGACCAAATTAGAGTTAATGGAATTAAAGGGAAACCCTTAAGATAACTTAAGAGTAGAAGGCACAAAAGAATGTTGGTAATGGGAAGGAAAACTCACATTGGTTTAACAAGTTCATCAGGGAAGCCTTCTGGACACAAACATTAGCTGTTACATTCATGGACAATCTGTCGTTATGAAGTCAGGACAGGGCTCATCACTGATGATTCCATGGTATTCAGGATCAATCTCTTTCAATATTAAAGCTGCCCATTCCAATCTGCAACAAGTTGGGATAACAACCAAGCTTGGGTAACAAATAAGAAAAATCTGTCACATGTAAATATCCCAAGATGCTTACTATTCAAATTAAACTGACACCATGAGAAAGGTGATGACATAACAACAAGAGGACAAAGATTTTGTCAACAGAATGCATGTTAATAATACAGGCTACATGGGATATAGGATGGGAATTCCAAATTGTTGAAGATAAGCAGCTAAAGGCACTAATGCAATGGGCATAGTGCAGAAGTGAAGGCTAGAGAAGGGAAAATGCACAAAAGGTCAAATTCATAAGACTGCAGGGCTCAATGGGAAGAGAAGCCTCGGTGAAGTACTTTAGGCAGCTACAAAGCTATGGAGTGGCAAGGACATAGAGGGATTTAAATAAAAAGGAGGAAGAAGTTAAATTGGAGACATTGGGTAACAAGGAATCAATGCAGATCAGCAAGCTCAATGGGTATGCGTGAGTAGGGCATTATGGAAAATTGAATATGAGCTCTTTAGAGATTGACCTACCAGATGGAAACGTGCTGGTGTTTTGTGTCTTATTCACAGTAAATATAACTCAGGTGACTTACATAATGAAAAAACTGATAACATCATTGAATCATTTATAATCTTGCAAGGTGATAGAAGAAAATCACACTGTTGTCTAAGGCAATTCAGTGCAAAAGGAACTTACAGGTCCATGTGTGAGATTCTTCATGTTATACTTGTCAGTGACTGCATCACTATAAAATTATCTCCAGTTTATGAGGAATTGCAGCTAATAGTACACTTTTCAATAAAAGAAATATGTTTCAAGTAAATTACTGCTTGCCACTGCAAGTTATAACCAAACTGGCTTCTGGTTACATCTAACTAGCACCTTTGTTGATGATATCATGCACTAACAATATACTATAAAACTCATTGGTTTAATAAATAGTAAAGATTATTTAAAAAAAAAAGAGACAGTTAAGAGTTTATAAATTGTCATGATGGCAAAACAAATAAGTGTGCAAGGTAGATATCAGGGAAAAAACCAAACTTTATGTGCAAACTCTTTCCAACGCTCAAGTGCCAGTTACAGTACATGATTATTTTGCTGTCTGCTCATCTATCCCAATTATAATTGCATTATATTATAATATTACAATTGTAAATTAGAATCTAACAACAGAAAACAGTTTGATGTAATCATTAAGTACAAAAAAAACAGGAAAACAGAACTGTTCCTACATATGCTTTGCAATGCTTTCTAAAAATACTGTTGTACCATTAAGGAGTTTGCTTTGCATGGTTCCCATTTCATGTGCAGTTTGTAAGGATTTGTGAGAGGGTGAAGAAACTAGGTGAGAAATAAGCACGGAGATCAGACCTCTGCAAGCATTTACATGTACCCTGCATTGAGTCAGCAAAGAGGAACTGTAAATCCTCGAGCTCAAGGCCCTAAGTAATTACACAGGTTAAACTGCCCCTGGGTGAGTAGGTAACATGATTATGCTCCTACAGGGCAGGGGGTGGATTTCTTCCAACAATTTTATCAAAAAATTCTCGTTCTGTACTCAGGTTAACATCGTTCCATTAAAATCAATTTTGACTTGATGAATCTGTCATCTCAAGTAAGTCCATCACATAATTAGTTGCACTAAGCCCTCCTCATTCTCCGATTATAAAACAACTTCCAAAATAGTTCTAGCAAAAGTAGGAACTTTGCCTCCTGATACCCCCAGCACCCTGATATTCAGTAGTCGGCAGAGTGACAGATGTTTGAAAGCAGAAATGTTTCAGTCATATTGTTAAGGCTCACTTGTGCCTTATTGTCTATTTGTGCTACAGTGCCACCATTTGATTGAAGGAGTCATTAACATTTCAATCTCCAGCCCAACATTTTGATTTTCTTTAACAGTAATAAGAAGCAAAGAGAAAATACTGTTGAAGTACAGAATTCAAGTACTCAACCAGCTATGTGTACCGATACATAATTAATATTTAACCTTACTATGTTGCAATATAGGGTACAGATCTAAGTATATCTAACTCTGCCTTTTATGTGTCTACACTTAATTACCAATTGTCAAAACATATATTAAGAATCATAATTTAGAATACTGCAGTAAAAACCTAGGACACTTTTCTGGATCAATACATGTTATGAATGCTGACCATTTAAAGAAGGAAAATCCCTTTAAAATAGTCTTTATTTTTGTTGCATTATTTCCTTCCATTAATTTTGATGACAGCTTTTCAACCTAACTATTTGTCACTTGCTTCGTAATCCTTTGTTGCTGTGCCCATCATCTTCCTAAGAATTAGACAGATTACGAAAGCAGAAGAAACTCTTATCTTTGTAAAGCCTCTAACAAATTTATGAGAACTGTTATATTACATTAATTATACTGACTTAATCTCTCAGTGCAGAACTCCAACAATGATGAATCTCTGCTGGCAGTGATGCTGCAGCATTGTAGAGATGCAAGTGGCTGCTTCACTGAATTCTCAATCTCAGCTGCACTGAGACATTTGAACCCAGGAGAAAAGTGCGAGATGTGTATCTCTCAATGTTATTGGTAAAGCCTTAAAGGAAGTAGAAACCCATCCTATTGGCTGTAAGGACTCAAGTGGACTATTACAAAATATGGCATAGCGAATGAACAATACAATAGTTGCATTATTTGCTTCATTCCAACTGATGACATCGTGGGAGTAAACAGATAGGATAATTTTCAAAGAAAAACAGTAGATATTTTCTAATCAACCAGTCAGAGTTGTTATTACACACCTCTGGAGCAGGTGGAACTTCAGCTCAGAGGTCAGGAGACTACCACAGTATAGAAGAACTCCCAAAGAAGAAAATATATTTTCTAATCAACCTGTTAAGAATTGTTACTACACGTCTTCGGAACAGATGGGACTTGAACCTGGGTGTCCTGACTCAAAGGTAGGGATCCTACCACTGCACCACAACAGCCCTTTGAAGAAAGCAACACTGCAGTGTAAGTAATGATTTACCCTGTTACTTTTTAAAGTCAATTAGATGTTGCAGGAGTTGCAAATCATTCACCAATCCCAACCAGTATCTTCACATACAGACATTACTGTCTATTCTAGGAAGGAGCTCTGGTCCTTGAAAGGTGAAAGACTGCTCAATCCTCAAGAAGTCACAAGGCAATCAAATGATATACTCTATCCTCAATGTAACATGGTGTCAAAGAGTAAGGTGACATACATGGTGTATCAAAATTTGTACTACAATACAGCATAAAACAAAACACAGGAAACAAAATGGTCAGGTGCCACTGACTCTAACAGACAGTATTGTAACTATAGCACTTAAAGCAAGATGGGTACATTTAGTTAAATACCAAAATGGTTTTAAGGGAAGGAAGAAATGGACCTGGATGGGTAGAGTACTGTACATATAAAAACAAATTACAAACGGGCATATTCCATATTTAGAAAATCGAAAAGAAACTAATACTGTGTTGTCGACTTGGCAAGGCACAGGTGTAGGGGAGTCATTTCTGGTTAACTGCTCAGTGACGTTTCTTCTAGAATGTCTTGGTTATTCCAGCAATTACTCCACATTCTTGTATTTCGTGAATAAATTGTAAAGCACTCTCAGTGTTGACTTCAAATCCAGGTTTACAATATCTGATGAGAGAACATGCAATATGTTCACGATGAAAGTTGTACAAAAACTAGCATTATGCAAGTTCAAAAGATAAATTAAAAGAAAAAGGGGGAAAATGAACTGGAAAGGGAAGATCACAGGCTCATGGCTTTGCATTCCATAGCATTTTCCCAGAGATTGGAAGAATGGAGTTTTAATTTATCCTACCTAATCTCGTCTCATTTATATTTTTGGCGTGTAACTTCTGGTGCAAAGAGTGAGCATATGCCTCGAGGAAGGGCAAAAGGTTTTGGAGTCACCAGCACATGCAATGTGGTTTCCTGCTGTCAACAGAAAACAAGCATCACAAGGATAAAACCAGCAATGGCAGGATTTTTCTCCATCAGAGGACCTGCTGTTTGTGTAAGGTGCTGCCAAAACTATACCAGACAACAGTTTATAACTTTTATGCAACTGGAACATGTAATTAACAGATGGCACAAGACTCAGACAGCTGTGTTAATAAAAGATACTACCAGTGAAGTGGTGAGCAGTCAAGGGGATAATCTCAGCTAAGAGTTGCCTCACAGTAAATCAAAAGTATAAATCAGGAAATAGGGCAGACATATAAAAAGATCATTTCAATTGTCAAGGGTGATTTCAATCTGTATATTGTGTACAAATCAGGTGGGCAACACGAACATGAAAGATTAATTTGTACAGTGTATCATGAACTGTTTCTTAAAGCAGTACATTGAAACCTACCCTGAAACCCATTTTAGATCTAGTGATACATGAGATTAATAAGAGATCTTATAAATAACAATCCTCTAGGCAGTGGCAATACTACAAGATCGAATTTCAAATTCAGCTTAAGGGAAAGCAACTGAAACCTCAAATCAGTGTTCACAATCTGAATAAGGGAAATTATAGACATTCCCCCAGCTGGGTTCCATTCTCAAGTCAGTTCACTGTTCGATTTGTATGCAAGTCAGAAGACAATGCAGGACAATACAAGATAGCTGTTCATGAGTACGAGGAAACGTTTGTACATCAATCATTAAAATAATATTAATACACCCTGTATGGGATTGCATTAAGTTGGATATTACATTGGTTAACAAAGACAGTCAAGGAGAGTACCCAATCAAAAACTAAGGCATATAAAGTGATGAAAACTAGTGGTATGCTAAAAGTTTGGGATTATTTTAAGAATCAGATGGCGAAAAAGCTAATAGAAAAGAAAAAATGGATTATGAAAATAAATTGGCAATAAATATAAAAACAAATCAGCAAAAGCTTCTTAAAGAACATATTTTAAAAAAGTAAATGTGGAACCTTTTGAGGATACAACTAGAGAATTAATAATAGGGAACAGGGAAATGGCAGATAATTCAAACCAGTACTTTGTACTGGTCTTCCCAAAGATAACAGATAAGCAAGGTGCGAATGGGAGGAAAGATCTTGTGACAGTCTCTAACACAAGAGAAAAACACATGCATTAAACTAATGGGACAAAAGACAGACAAGTTGCCAGGACCTGATAGCCTGCATCCAAGGGTTTTAAACGAAGTGGCTGTAGAGATAATGGAAGCATTGGCCAAAGTATTCCAAGACTTACTGGATACCAGGAGGGCTCCAGCATATTGGGAGACTGCTAATGTGATGCGCCTGTTTAAGAAGGGAGAGAGAGAAAAAAGCAGGATGCTATAGACCAATTAGATTAAATGTGTCATTGGGAAAATGCTAGATCCATTATTAAGGAAGAAACAGCAAAACAATTAGAAAAGCTTAACAAAATCAAAAAGTTTGGTGCAAGAAAAATCACATTTGACAAATTTGCAAGTGACCTTTGAGGATATAACAAGCAGAGTTGATAAACAGGACAAAGTTGGTAGGCATAGTGGTTTTGGATTTCCAGAGCCATTTGATAAGGTGCCACATAAAAGTTTATTGCATAGGATAAAACATCATGTTATCTGGGGTAATGTATTAGCATGGATTGAGGATTGGTTAACATAGAAGACAAACAGTCAGGATCAATGAGTCTCTTCCAGGTTGGAAATACATAACAACTTATGGAGTGCCATTATTATTTGCTGTCTACATTAAGGACTTGGAGGAGGGGACAGAGCTTGATTTATCCAAATTTGCTGCTGACACAAAAATACGCAAGAGTGTACATTGTGATGAGGACACAAGGAATGTTCAAGGAATCTAGATAAGTTGAATAAGTAGGCAGAAATTTGGCAGATGGAGTTTAACATCACAACGTGAGGGGTTATGCACTTTGGTGGGAAGCATCAAAGAACAGACTATTATTTAAATGAAGATAGACTCCAAACAAATATAACAGAGGAATCTAGGTGGTCTTGTGCATGCAGGTGCAGCAAAAAGGCAAGTGGAATTTTAGCCTTTCATGCTAGGGCTAGAAGAGAAATCTTGTTTATATCATTCAGGATGTTGGTGAGGCCACACCTGGAGTACTTTACACAGTTTTGGTCCCCAAAATTTAAGAAAGGCTGGTCTGACAGTGGAGGCAGTTCTAAACGGATCCAATAGGCTAATTCCTGGGATGAAGCGATTGATTTATCTAGAATAACTAAACAGGTTAATACTTTATTCATTAGAGTTTAAAAGACTGACGGGTGATCTTACTGAAATGATTCCAAGGGGGCTCAACATGCTAGATGTTGAGAAGTTGTCAACTAGTGGGGGAATCCCAAACTAGAAGGCACAGTTACAGAATAAGATGACAAGCATTTAATACCGAGATGTGAAGGAATGTCTTCTCCTAGAGATGAGGGAATGTCTGGAATTCTCTACCTCACAGAGCTGTGGAGGCTAGATCACTAAAGAGGAGACAGATTGATTTTTGGAAAATCAGAGAGTTGAGGCCTATGACAAGCTGGCACAAAGAGAAATTCAGACCTGGGGCAGATCAGCCATGACCTTGTTGAATACGGGGCAAACCTGAAGGGCCGAATGGCCTACTGTTGCTCCCTTTCTTATGTTATGCTCAAATTTGATCATACTGTATTCTGTAATGTGTACCTGAACCACTGTACAATTTAATCTTGAACAAATTCGATAAATAGTGACGAGAGTCAAATTCCATTAGTTTCTATTTCTATAGCAATTTAATACTGGCCTGAAATTATATTTGATGTTTTCAAATACTAAAGAATTGTTTAATTGTTATGAGATCTGAACCACAGTAGTCAAGATTATGTCTTTGAAATTCAAAAGATACCTTCTGGGCGAGCCTTTGGTTTCTTAAGTCCGCCATCCTGCATAAGCTCAAAGGAAAATGCTACATTGTGAGCCTATAGAAAACAAACAATTTGGTTAATACACTTACTTCATGACATTAGAAGTTTAATCCATCAAAAAAGTAAACTGCTATAAAATATACACTGTTCGGTGTACCATTCACAAGTCAAATCTACTCTACGCTTGTATGTTGCTCCATTCAAAACCCAGCCTACCATTTCTTTTACAGCATTTTATTAAAAGTCATCGAGGTTGCAAGCCCTGCAACATATGCACCAGCTCTAGTGCCTTGCAGCACTGCACAATTTTGGGCATTCACCTTCCACACAGTACCACAACTTGCAGACAGTTGTAAAGAAGGGTGGAAGCGATATTAAACCAATGGATTTAAACACCAGTGAAAATTTTAATTCAGAGCTATGATGCACGTCAAGTGCAAATTTCAAT